TGCTACTATAAAAATTAACGCCAGTCTCAATACCAAAGGAAAGTACTAAAACCAATGTTAAAAGCCAACGGCGGCAATCACGAACAGGTTTTAATCAGCAGGCTCACTTGCCAGGAACACACTGTATGCGCGCCGCGGTCTGTCAACGGGGGGGGGTGAGCATATATATATATATATGCATATATACTCTATATATATATATATATCATTATATATCTATAGAGAGAGAGGGAGAGAGAGAGAGAGAGAGTTCCGTCTTCGGGCGGCCTGGCTGGTTGCCAGGGCCCAGGAGAGAGCGACGAGCTCTGCTGGCCGAAACTCCCCGGTACCTGAGAGCAGAAGACAAAGCTGCGCCGTGCACCTGTAGGGGCCTTAATAACTGATAATTAGAGCCTGATTATAGTTATAGTGTAAGATACCCCCAAGCCCTGTATAGTTATAGTATAAGATACCCCCAAAAGCCTATTCTAATTATTAAGGCCCCTATGACGTCGGGCCGAGGCTTCCGCGGCGTAGGGCTGTCTCAGCAGCCACCGACCTCAGCGGTCACCGCTCCGACAATACGGCTAGGCCGCATCGTAACGAAGATTCATCCGAGGATCAGTGCACGGTCGAAGACCGTCCGTTGCCCATCGGAGTCGGAGAGCGCCGAGAGCGCCAGCGCCCAAGCGATGTTGGAAAGTGATTGCGGGGAGAGCTCGGAGACGTCTGCCGTGGCTGTGCGCGTCGCTGCTGCCATGCAGAGGCCAGGCAAAGCCGGAAGCACGCGGAGGGTTGTGCACGCCCACAGCCTCGTTCGAGCGATCATTCTGTCCCAGGCTCTAATCGGATCATATTGAACTTTCTGCGGAATGTCACTCTGCCGATCTGCAGCTGAGCTCGAGGCGAATTGCTGATACTCATGAAAGAGGCTTCGCCGAGCTTTCCTGAGTACAGCTTCGCCCGCATGCTTCTTCAGCATGACATGCGAGCTCGAAGAACAAAGCCTTAACCCTAGCCCTGTCCCACTCAAACAGGCTACAGTAGGCTGTATACACAAAACGACATTTGAAAAGGAAGGCTGGCTGCAACCACTTTTTCTCAAAGCTTCAGGCGCCAGCATCTCCGCCAACTCCTTGATTTGCAGAAGAGACAAGAGGCAGCATTGCAGATGGCTTTTCCGGCCCTGTCCTTGCGCCTCTCCATACCACCGCCGCTAGAGCCTCTTGCACTCTGGGAAGCCTGGGCAGACGTACGATGGCGTACGCCGACGCGAGGGAGGCGAAGCCCGGCCCAGGCCTTCCCAGGGCCAGCTGCAAAGGCCCAAAGCATCATGGACAACCTGCATGAAAAACGTACACGTACAAGACCAACAAAACATCACTGGGCTCTGCTCGGCAACGGAACTGCTGGCGTTCCATGCCCGCCGAGCCGCTCGTGGGGGCCGAACTCCTCCAGCCTCTGCTGGAGGGACGCCGTCAGTGCGCGAGGCCCCCATGCCTGGCCATGGAGGGCATGCTCCGCGACTTTTAGGCAAGGCTGAGGACCCGAGGACCTCACCTCGTCGGTATCCCACCCCGCCGTCGCTTCCAGCCGGGCCAAGGACCAGGCAGTCAAAGCCAGCTGCCGTGGCTCCAGCTGCGGCCTTCGTGGCGCAAGGAATCGTTGGCCTTTGGATGTCTTTCGGTCCCATGCTGTCCCAGCCACAGAACTTCTTCGGAGACGAGGAAGTCTGCAGCCGACTTTGCAGAGAGTTTCGCGACGCGAGCCTCGCTGGAGGGGCCTGACTCGCTGCAAGACAGCTCAAAAGCCTCTCGCATCTCTCGCATCCGCCATACGCCACACAGGCCTCCCGGCAGGCTCTTGCCCCGGGCCACTGCGCCACGAAGCTTGGCGACAGCAGCTGAGATGCCTTGCAACATGCACGCCTCAGTCAGTCTTTTGGGGGTTTGCTCCGGTGTGCTTCGACCGCTCCTTCTCGGCCAGCCATTGCAGGGAGCCACCCAGCGTGGCCACATGCTGCAGGAAGGACAGGCGCGCATGTTCCGCACGGCGTATCAGTCGGGAACTATAATCATAGATGCCTCCCAAACATGCACGGTAAGACTGCTAGATGCTGGGCTCCCGAAACAGCCCACTGTACATTTGCAGCTACTGTCTTTGTGGGCTTGGGTTTGCCGAGCACGCATGCGGTGTGCATATATTCCTTGTGGGGCACATCCAACCACCTCTTTGGTCAGCTGCGGAATCATGTATTCTGGAAAGCCCATGCAATCACAAGCAACCAAATGCAAGCCACAAAGCTGAGTGATCACTGGACTTATGCTGCGTCGCAGTCTTGGAAACGACAGCTAAATGCTGAACTCTGACCGCTCATCACCGCTCATCGACTCATCCTCGCCCTGTGCGCAAAGGCGGAGACGATGCTGCACACAGCACAGCTGGCTTCTGCAATCCGGGGCATCGGCAGAGCATCATCTTCGTTCTCTTTCATAAGAGCCTCGTCATCTTCGTCTGCAAACGGCATCCAACGGGACCGGTCCTGCCTCAACGATCTTGACGGTGTATGGATACGGAGGGCACGGCTTCGGTGCCCCGAGCTCCTGAATGCCAACTCGCTTGGAAACAAGCGAAAACTATGCGCTTTCTTTTTTCGAAATATCGCTTTATCGAGATATGTATGTATGTATGTATGTAGGT